GGGGGACAGAGATCCCGGTGAAATGTCTGTAGATTCTGACCCAAGTCTTCTGTTGCTTAGGCCTCCGAAGAGCAAACGCGTAGGCCCAGGCGCATCACAAATCGCTGCTCTGCCGAGCTCTGCAACTTCAGCCTCACCGGCCAGCAATCTGGTTCCACAGGGTGGGGACTTTCAGCAACAGCAGCAAGTGCCCTCTCTAGACAGGCAAGATTCCACGACCCTCAGCCTCCAGTCTCAGCGGGCCCCAGGTCTTGGTGTGGGACATTTAAGCCAAGGCTGTTTTCTCTTGGGTTTCTGCTACATTTCTTGAATGACCTTGAAGATGCAGATGATCGTGAAGGTCTCGATCACAAGGGTGTGTGCACACGATGGAGGTTAACGTTTTCTCATGGGAACTCCTGGGCCCGTGTTTTCTCTTTTCCCATCCAGTGACTGGTCCTCACTAAGTGCCTGCTGAATGAAGAAACGCGTCCTGTAGACCTTCAGGGCAGTAGGAAAGGGGCAGTTGCTGCGGAAGGTGGGATCCCTCCGGAAAGTAGCTATCAGTTACCCAGTTAATCTCCTGGAACCTTCCATTCCAGTTGGTAAAGTAAAGTATCTCAAGTCAAAGACAAGTAGCAAGGGCCAGCTCGGGAATTTGAACTCAGACAGGCCAAGTGGCTGCCAGGAGAACAAGGCGGTGAAGGGCCAGATACTCCCCCTCAGACAAAGGAGTGTTCTCTGGTTCCGATGTTCCTCCGGCCTTGGCAAAGCTCAGACAGGCCTCCTAGGGAGATGGGGCTAGCCCCTCTTGGGCCCAAGGCTGGCAGTTGAGCCTCCAGGCAAAATGTGCGCTTTCTTACGGGGGAAGTCAAAGGAGTAGGCTCCTCTTCTCTCACTTCTGAGGCAATGCTTCGTGTCTCGCAGAAGCCAAGAGTGCCAAAGATGGTGAGCGGCACTGTCAGTGACTAGTGGGTGCCCATTAGATGGCAGCCGGTTCTCCAAAGAAAGTGTCCTCGGGGAAGTCCATCTAACCCCTGGAAAAGCAACCCAATCACCTGTGGACATGGGAGGAAATTAAAAACCAAGCCAAATAGAAAGGGGGAAAAATAATTAAGAGAAAGATAAAAGGAAAATAAATAAGCAAATAAAA